TTATAGTATTTTACAAAGTATTAAACGTTTTTCATGTGTACAACACGTTCGAGTTTTTATTCGTTTTGGTCCTCGGTTTTCCGGTAGTTTATTCCGTATTCTGACGCAATTCCACTGTGTACCTGTCCGCTTCGTCCAACAGGTTATGGGCCCAGAGGAAGTTGCGCGAAAAACAGTGTAAACGGTTCACGAAAGTAATCGGTCGTTCGGAAGCTTGCGTGCGTGTTTTCGTGTTGACATCATCGGCAGCAGAGTGACGATGGAAGCGCTGAATAATTTTGTCCGGTTGAACAACCACAACTGGCAAACATGGAAGTTCCGTATGGAGATGCTCCTTACGAGGGAGGATCTGTGGTACGTCATCGTTTCTCCGAAGCCGGAAGACCCTGAGCAGTGGGTGAAGGACGATAAGAAAGCCCGAGCGACGATGGGACTGTGTGTCGAGGAGAACCAATACGGACTAATTAAAACAGCAGCTACTGCCAGCGATTTTTGGAACAGCCTGAAGCAGTACCACGAGAAGGTAACGGTGACGTCGAGAGTATCCCTGTTGAAGCGGTTGTGTAGCCTAAATCTGTTCGAAGGAGGTGATCTGGAGATCCATCTGTTTGAAGTGGAGGATCTATTCGACAGATTGACACAAGCTGGACAGGAGTTAAGCGATTCACTTAAAGTTGCAATGATATTGCGCAGTCTGCCAGACTCTTATTCTGGACTCGTTACTGCACTTGAGAGTAGACCGGATGCAGATTTAACAGTTGTGCTCGTCAAGTCAAAGCTGCTGGATGAATTCGAGCGTCGAAAGGAACGTCTAGTACCCGGTTCCAGCGGAAGATCTGGAGAAGCGAAAGCGCTGAAAAGTTTCAGCAAGCGGAATGTCTCCGTTTCAGAACGTGCATGTTTCTTTTGCAAACAGAAAGGGCATTTACGCAAGGATTGCCCAGTGCTGTCAGAGCATCAGAAGCATAAAGGCGATAAGAAGAAGAAGAACGATTCACCGGCTGCGAAGCAAGTCGTGGCAAAGGACAAGAGCGCTGTTTTGTTCCTGATGGATGGGATTCGGCGGAACAGCTGGATCATCGATAGCGGAGCAAGCGTTCATATGTCGAACGAGAAGCGATTTTTCGAATCGATCGATGAGACGGACGTTCAAGAAGTGTTTTTAGCTGATGGATCGTCTGTTAAATCGGCTGGATGTGGCACTTTGAAGGTGTGTACCGTCAATGGTTCTGGCGGAGTGGTCGATGTAACCCTGGAGAAAGCGTTGTATGTTCCGTCACTGAACAGTGGGCTGCTGTCTGTGACAATGTTGACGTCGAAGGGATTTCTGGTGATCTTCAGGAAGAATGATTGTAACATCACGGATGAAGCCGGCAAGGTGGTAGCTAAAGGAGACCGCTGTGGCAACCTGTACCAGCTAAGGATAGCCGAAGAAGCACTGAAGGTCGAGAGTAAGCAACACAACGAGTTCTGCCAGCATCAGTGGCACCGTAAATTTGGCCACCGAGATCCGACGATTGTGAACAAGCTGTGTAAGGAAAAACTCGTCGAAGGTGTACTGGTGAAGGATTGCGGGATTCGACTGGCATGTGAGACCTGCATGGAAGGAAAGTTATCACGTACTCCGATTCCACGAACGGCTGAGCGGAAGTCAACGCAAGTCCTGGATTTGGTGCACACGGACCTTTGTGGACCAATGAGGACGCCCACAGCGAGTGGGAGCAGGTATCTAATGACGGTGATCGACGACTATAGTCGATATACTGTTGTTTACCTGCTGTGCAAGAAGTCGGAAGCTGCTGATCGGATGGTTGAGTATGTCAGGTATGTGGAAACCCTGTTTAACCGTAAGCCCAGGATAGTGCGATCGGACGGTGGCGGCGAGTATGTGAACGAGCGACTGCAGAATTTCTTCCAAATTGAGGGGATTAAGTGCCAATATACGACAGCCTACACGCCGCAGCAGAATGGTGTCGCCGAAAGACGAAATCGCTACTTGCAAGAGATGGCGACAACGATGCTGCTGGATGCGAAGCTCGAGAAGAAGTTCTGGGGAGAAGCAGTCGTGACAGCGGCGTACCTCCAGAATCGATTGCCGTCACGGTCAGTTGAAGTTACTCCGTTTGAGAAGTGGTACGGTAGGAAGCCGAACCTGGGACATTTGCGTGTGTATGGGTGCAAGGCCCGTTTTCGATAGCAAGGCCCGGAAGCTAACCTTCATAGGATACTCGGAACAACATAAAGCGTATCGTTTTGTTGACCTGGTGACGGAGAAAGTGACGATTAGTAGGGACGCTAAGTTTTTGGAGCTAGATGAGGTTCAATGTCAAGAGGAGGTGGCTGTACTCCCGGCCCCAGAAGAAAGTGACACGGAATTGATTATATGTGAAGAGTCGGCAAGTGGCAAGCAGCCACCGGCAGAAGAGCCAGTGGTTGAACCTGTGAATGAAAAAGAACAATTGGATGATCCTGAATTGGATGATATTGACCGTAGTGAATACGAACAATATTTTGACTTGAATTCGTCTTCGTCTTCGTTGGAGGATCCGCTAGCAGTGAAAGAAGAGCCGCAAGACGGTGAAGAATCGGAAAGTGTACCTACTGGAATGTCATTCCGTAGGAATCGGAGAAAGTTGCCAGATCGTTTTTCCGATTACGTTGTGGGAGTAGCGGCGCAGTCAGTTAAGGAGCCGGTTACCTACATTGAGGCAGTGAAGAGTGTTGACGGTGATGCTTGGCGAAAAGCAATGGGCGATGAACTTCAGTCGCATTTACGGAACGGCACGTGGGAGCTGGTGGACCCTCCGGCTGGGAAGCGTGTCATTGGAAGCCGATGGGTCTACAAGATCAAGCAGGATGAAACGGGAGCAGTTGTTCGATTCAAGGCACGGCTGGTGGCGCAAGGATACGCGCAGCGATACGGAGTTGATTTCGACGAAGTGTTCGCTCCGGTCACCAAGTATGCTACGTTGCGGACATTCTTGGTGCTGGCTGGCAAGGAGCGATTATTGCTAAAGCATCTAGACGTCAAGACCGCCTATCTCTACGGTAGTATTGACGAGGAGGTGTACATGCGCCAGCCACCCGGTTGTGAAGTTCGCGGACAGAAGCAGAAGGTTTGTCGATTGAAGCGCAGCATATATGGCTTAAAGCAATCGGCGAGGTGTTGGAACCGGAAGGTGTCGGACGTCCTGCTGAAGGTTGGATTCGTGGCGTGCAGTGCTGATCCGTGTATGTACGTGGCTGTCAGGAACGGCAAGAAGGTATACCTAATCGTGTATGTGGATGATCTGCTATTTGGATGTGCTTCTGAGAAGGAGATAGCCAATGTGTACGAAGAGCTTCGCAAAGAATTTGAGATGTGTTGGCTGGGCGATGCAAAGTATTTTCTCGGCTTGGAACTACAGAAGGACGACGACGGATTCTACAACATGAGCGTGAAGGCATACATCGAGAAATTGATCGTGAAACTAGGACTGCAAGATGCGAAGGTGGCGAAGACGCCGATGGATCAAGGCTACGTGAAGGACAGGACGACGAGTGAAAACCTGAAGGACGCATCGATGTACCGAAGCCTGGTTGGTGCAGTGATGTATGTGGCAGTCACAGCGCGTCCCGACATTGCATCGGCTGCTTCCATATTGGGCAGAAAGTTCAGTGCTCCGACGGAAATCGACTGGACAGCGGCAAAGCGTGTCGTACGTTATCTCAAGGCAACCAAAACCTGGAAGTTGAAGTTGGGAGGCGTAGGCGGAGAGCTGCTGGAGGCGTATTCGGACTCTGACTGGGCTGGTGACCCAGATACACGCAAGTCTACTACCGGTTTTGTAGTATTCTATGCAGGAGGAGCTGTGTCGTGGGCTAGCAGAAGACAGGATTGCGTGAGTCTTTCGTCCATGGAGGCCGAATATGTGGCGCTGGGCGAGACTTGCCAAGATGTGCTGTGGTTGAGAAGATTGCTGAACGACATGGGTGAGAAGCAGAAGTGTGCCACAATGGTGCACGAAGACAACCAGGGCTGCTTGTGCTTCGTCAGGTCCGAGCGAGCGAGCAAGAGGACCAAGCACATCGAGACGAAGGAGTGTTTCATCAGAGATCTCTGTGACCGTGGCATAGTGAAACTTCAATATTGTCCCACTGATGAAATGAAGGCGGACATCTTTACCAAGGCGCTTGGAACGGTGAAGCATGACCGCTTTACCGAGCTTCTAGGTTTCGTTAAAGGCTGAGGGAACACCGTTGAGGAGGAGTGTTAGCAGAATGCAACGGTAACCCCTACATTCGACCAGTTTACCGAACCCCTAGTGTCGACTATCCTAGCCGACACCACTGGTATGCTTAACGTCTCAAGATTATGACAAGTGTTTTGACAGATGTGACTAACCTAACATTATAGTATTTTACAAAGTATTACACGTTTTTCATGTATACAACACGTTCGAGTTTTTATTCGTTTTGGTCCTCGGTTTTCCGGTAGTTTATTCCGTATTCTGACGCAATTCCACTGTGTACCTGTCCGCTTCGTCCAACAAAAATAATGCTACGTCAGAAGTGGAAAGCAATAATGATATAATCTTCTTCCTTTTGTTCATGACAAGCAGCCCGTGCGACACCCAGCTCACTCGGGGCGGTAGAAGGAAACGAGCAAATTGTTGGCAAGCTGCTTCACGAAGTAAAGCCGAAGATGATACACGTGTGTTATGTCTTTTCTCGATTCTGATCAAGCTATGTCCTCATCAATGTTTATTGCAACAAAGCAGACAAGTAATATAATATATTATCATTATCCTTCTACCACTCCAATCGAGCTATGTTACAGAGCGAGATTGTCATGGTAGTCGTAGCAACCGTTTTGTCTGTATCGTTGGTTGCTTTATGTGTTTGGATTCGCTGCCACAGCATCATTAAAGTCACATAGGCTTTTTTAAAGCTTTATTAGCGAGATCTTTAGCCCTTTGGCTAGTTCATCTCGTAAGAGTCACATAGGCGGTTTCTAACCAGTCATTTTGGTTCTCTCTGATACTTGAAGCTCTCTATGGATGGAGAAAGTCGAGAAACAGCATCCTAAAAAACCAAAGCAGTTTTCTGGGGAATTGGAAGAAACTTCCAGGGGGACATTTAATTAAACTTCCGAGGAATGTTGGAAGAAACTTCTTTCGGAAATTGGATGAAACTTCCTGCCATTTTCTGAGTTAAATTTAACAGATTTGCTGACTTTCAAACAGAATCCTGCGAGGGTTGTAACATTCTTACTTGTTGTCTGTCAAAAATAATTGCATAATAATATGAGAATTAATTAATTACATGCAGTCACTAACAGAAGCTCGTTGATAAAATAAACTCGGCAATTAGTAAACAGTCGAAGCATAAAGTTTTCCAAAATATGATTGTGGAATTGTATGTGAATCAAGTTTAAATTTAAATCAAAACATGTCACCCAGGGCGGACCGCCTCCAGACCACGCCATTGCCAATTGAATAACACACCGATTTGATATTGCAGTTTTTTTTTAAATAATTTAGGAAAAAGTGCAGACTTGTGACTGACAATTGATTTCAATCATAAAGGAGTTGCAAGAGCTGCTGGCGCGAGTAAATATGTCTACAAATATTTCCAGACAGTCTTTGATGCCTCTTTTGACCCGAAAATCAACAAAGTCAAGCCTCATTATAGTTAGTTAGAGATGCTTCAATGGCCGTTTTTTCTGCATTCTCAGTTGAAGACCTTCCAACATCAATTCCCCATAGATGAGAAGAAATCCTTAATTATTCATAACCCTTTCTTTTCGTTTACTGCTTTACTTCCTTCTGCACCAGATTTTCCCTTAGGAAAGATTTCACAATCTTTCAGTCTAGGCTTAGAGGCTTGCATAAAAAAAATCTATTATTAACTACCTCTCTCATCCTTCATCGCACTGCGCCACCAACATAATCAATAATTAGCGGGCTTGCGCTGGTGTAGAACGTTGCAGACGAATTATTTCCCTCCAGGAAAGTTATGTCGTAAAATTGCTTGATTATTTGACACCAGCTGCGACTCGCTTTCGATTAATGAGCTAATTTTTTTTTTCTCCGGAGAATAAGCGGAAAACTTTTCCAGTTCCTGCACTGTTCAGAGATTTGCTTTGACAATTTCGTCCATTCTTGCTCATATACTTTCGTTCGCATTAAAAATACAAGTGGAGCAAGAAACCGACAGGAAGCGAAGAGCTCTCCAATAAATTCAATAGCCTTCGCAGATTCACCCCTTCTCCCCCTCTGTAGGCATCCATTGATGGGTCTATTTTGCATCTCCCGAAACTTACACAATGTCACCACACAGGAGTGGGTGGGTATCGTATCTTTCTTCTGCGAGGAAAAGCCCTCCTGCTATGAGTACCTAGCTGATATTCGTTCGGAACCTTTCTGATCTGCCTTTCTGTAGGTGCTTCGTACTAGTCGTATCCGTCATTGTAGGCCGTCAAATCGCACATGTCGCTTGCAAGCAGCAAAAAACTGAAATATGTTCATCGTCCCGTTTTCCTCTTCTCGTCGTCCTGCCATCCGTTTCCGCTCTCTTAGGAGTTCCACGCCATGACGACCTTCTTGAAGGGGACGAAGATTCCATGCTGTGGCTCACTGGAATGGTATGAAGAAGATGAAAAAGTAAGTGTAAGTAAGATGGAAACTAAGGGATCTTGTTGGGATATCAACCAGGGTTGCAAAAAGTGGAGACAAATCGATGGGGAAATGGAGAAAATTCTATTAACCCTCATCCAATCAGATGGATATGTCGCTGTTGGTGGGATTCTATGAAGTTTGGGGGACGTACGTGGGATGCTAGAATTAGGCGCCTTTTTTGATGATGTTGTTTTATGATCGGTTTGTATGTATTCACAATTTCTCTATTTATTTGACAACCCGTATGGAGAAATTTGTCTGAATCTGTCCTTCTGAAGAAAGTTGGTATAATTTTAAACCAAGGAGTTACAAAGTGTTTGATCTTTTGTAGAAATACGGCACATACACGCCCATTTGGGGTCACCATCGTATATGTACAATATACCTTGCATGAAATATTTCCAATATTGAATAAAATATTCTGACAACTGGTTTTGAACAAAAATTTACACTTAACCTTCACGGAGAACAAATTATAGCAGACGCAATTATTTTTCCGGTCAAAATAACTATATTGTTCAATTGTTTTAGAGATAACCCGAAACTATAGTTGATTTGACTATATATAGAGGGCAACAACTATAGTCCATAGTTGGCTCCTCGGTTGGCTCAACTATATTTTTCAGTAGATGAACAAACGCCAAACTTCAAAATACAACTATGCGTTAGTTGATTCAAGAAAACTTGTTAGAACAGCAAAATTTTACAATGTTCATTAAACGAACTGCTCTTCATTATCGACATATTAAATAAAGTTTGTTTTGCTTCTTTATCGATCTCAAAAACACAACTGCAAAATCATAAAAAAGTGAACAAGAACATTCAACTTAGATTTGAACCGTGTTCATCTGCGTGAGAGCCAGCTAAAGGGTGATACGGTCAAAATTTGGTCAATATCAACTTGACGTATTTCTTTCAATTTTGCATTTAAAAAACCTGAACACCCCTCATTTTGAAGGTGTGTGTGTGTAGAATGTTGCTCCTATTTTGATTTTGGAATTCACACTTCAGTTGTCAAAATGCCGTCCAAGCAAGAAGAGCAGCGTATCAAAATTTGGCTCGCGCATCGCGAAAATCCGAGCTACTCGCACGCAAAGTTGGCAAAATCGCTAAAAGTTGCCAAATTAACCGTTACAAATGTAATTAAAGTGTTTGGGGAACGTTTGTCGACAGCCAGGAAGTCTGGATCGGGGGGAAATCGAAAACCGGAAGTCGCTGAGACGACAAAGAGAGTTGCCGGTAGTTTCAAGCGAAACCCTAACCTCACTCTCCGAGATGCCGCAAATAAGCTGGGTGTATCGTCTACAACCGTGCATCAAGCCAAAAAACGAGCCGGACTATCGACTTACAAGAAGGTAGTGACTCCAAATCGCGATGATAAACAAAATACGACGGCCAAAGCGCGATCCCGGAGGCTGTACACGACGATGCTGACGAAGTTTGATTGCGTGGTAATGGACGACGAAACCTACGTCAAAGCCGACTACAAGCAGCTTCCGGGACAGGAGTTTTATACGGCAAAAGGAAGGGGAAAGGTAGCAGATGTTTTCAAGCACATGAAACTGTCAAAGTTCGCAAAGAAATATCTGGTTTGGCAAGCCATCTGTACCTGTGGCTTGAAAAGCAGCATTTTCATAGCTTCCGGGACTGTCAACCAAGAAATTTACGTGAAAGAGTGTTTGAATAAACGTCTGCTGCCTTTCCTGAAGAAACACGGTTGTTCCGTACTGTTTTGGCCGGATTTGGCATCTTGCCATTACGGTAAAAAGGCCATGGAGTGGTACGCCGCCAACAACGTGCAGGTGGTTCTCAAGGACAAGAACCCTCCCAACACGCCAGAGCTCCGCCCAATTGAGAAATACTGGGCTATTGTCAAGCGGAACCTAAAGAAGACCAAAAAAACTGCTAAGGGCGAGCAGCAGTTCAAGGCAAACTAGCTTTCTGCGGCGAAGAAGGTGGACAAGGTGGCTGTACAAAATCTGATGGCAGGGGTCAAGCTTAAAGCCCGGCAATTCGGATTTGGAAAAGCGGAAGCCTAACTGAATATTTTTCCTGAATTTTATACTAATTGAACTTGAAAAAGAAATTTAATTTGATTTTTTAAATAAACGATTTCACCGATTTACACGCGTTTTCCCTTGACCAAATTTTGACCGTATCACCCTTTATCTTATGGCCTGCTCTACGCATCACAAGTTAAAAGTATGTGGATTTATGATGATCACTTGAAACCAAATTATATAAATAAATTAATTTGACGGTTGTTATAATTGATCAAATTATAGTTGTATTGAGTATAAGATGAACAGTTGAATCTATTAGGTGGATATGATTGATTTGACGGTCAAATTAATGTTGGAATAACTATAGGTTTCTTTCAAACAACAATACTTTTCCATGTGAAAGTAACTATTAGGATTGTTATCTTAACTTAACGAACTTGGTCTCCGTGTTGGCCTGGGCCTAGGTTCAATCCCAGTCGGCGCCGCCGGGATGTTCTGAGACATAACATCTCTGATCAGGAAAGTAAAGCCGTTGGTCCCCGGTTCATGAGTTTATGGGTCGCTGCACTGATGAGCACTAATGCTGCCTCCCTGGCGTCGGTAGCATTAGTGCTCAGCACGGAAAACAAATCAAAGAAAAAAAAAAAAACAATCGTCCTTGATCATCAATTTGCTTCGATTATAAAATTATTTTGATGAACAATCAGCCTCTGCTACAATTTTCATCAACAATTTACTATGATCCATAATGTGCCTTGATCTGGGGGCAAGACAGCTTTCGATAATGAGTAAAATCGGAGTTAATTTTGAGTAACTCTGAGTAACTCACGTTGCTCAATACCTTATATACACATAGCAACCTGATTGTTATATTGAAAATATTGTTGAAACCGATGCTTTCAAGCTAAGTAAGTTGACGTGCTTTCTTGGAATTCTGTGTAGGGACTTTTGGGGTGGTTCGATAGGTTCGGATTGGGCTAAAATAATTCAATAAATCCAATTCTTAGACAGGGTGTCTACTACCTGTAAAAACCGGGAATTTACAGGGAATTTTATTTTTTCTGGAAAAACCTGGAATATTCAGGGAATTTTGGTTCCACTCAGGGAATTTTCCAATTATCACTTCATTCGTAATTCAATAGAAGTTTTTCGTTCAGTTTCGCGAAACGTTTCTTAAGGATACTGAACTTGACAAGCATCTGACAGCTAAGACAACGTGTGCGAACGAGACAAGTTCATTCAGAGAGTCTTGTCACGCTCGCTCTTCGCTGATTTGTATGTGTAGGATCAAAATCGTAGTAAAAAGGAAACAGCCGAAAAAGAGAGACTGGCGACCATCAAAAGAAAGCGTACGAAGCATGTGTATTGTATAAGAATAAGCATGCCAGACAGCAGGCCTACATAGAATTTTTTTTGAGCTTCAGAGAGGGTCGGAGATCTACTGAGAAACTTGTTGAGCTTCAGGGTACTTCGTAGATCTTGAGAACAGAACTATAAACAATTTAAAAGTTATTAACTGAAATTCATAAAAAAAATCACTAGAGAGGTCGTAGATTTTCAGATAAATGTTCAAAGAAAATTTCAAAACTTCAAGCAAGCAAAAATAATTTCAAATCAATTTGTAAAACTATAAGCGAAATTTTGCAAATCTTCAGGGAAATTCGCATAACTTCAGACAAGTCCAAGAATCTACAGTGAAATATAAAGTATTTCACAGAAGTTTGGAGATCCTCGAAACATTATTCAACATCAGAAAAGTTCGTAGATCTTCAGAACAAAGCTACAGAACTTTGAAAAAAAAAAAAAAATACAGAACTTCAGAAAAAACCATAAGAATCTCAGAAATGTTAATGGATTTTCAGTAAAAATTGCAGAACTTCAGGGAAGTTCGGCGATTTAAAACAAATATATACACGATTTCAGAAAAATTTGTAGATCTTAAGAGAGACATTTAAAACTTCAAAGAAGCTCAAATATTTTCAGATAAATTTTGACAACTTCAGGTAATCTTCAAGGAAATTTTCAAATCTTCATGGTAACCCGAGAGGAATTTACAAAACATCAGAGAAGTTTGCAGATCTACTGAGAAATCTATTGAGCCTCAAGTTTTTTTTTGTAGATCTTGGGAATAGAGCTACGGAGCTTAAGACAACTTTACAGAACTTTAAAGATATTTGCAGGAATTTGACAGAAAGTTTCACCGTTTCACATAAATGTGAGATGTTCAGAAAAATTCGTTAGATGTCAGAAAAGCACCTCAATTCCAAAAACAAATCGCAGCGAAGTACAAAAGTACAATATTTTGCAGAACTCCATGGAAGTCGGAAATAGATAGATATAAAGAACTTCAGAGAAGTCCGTAGACCTTAAGAGAAGTCTGTAGAACGCCAGAAAGTTCGTACGTTTTTAGAAAAATTTTCAAAACTTCAGCAAAACTCACAGATTTTCGGGAAAGTCCACCGATCTTTAGATCAAGAATCCACAAAGAAATTTAAAGAACTTTAGAAAAGTTCGGAGATCTACTGTGAAATTTATTGAACTTCAGGGCAGTTCGTAGATCTTTAGAACAGAAATACAGTACTTCAGAAAACTTCACAGAATTTGAAATAAATTTTAGGAACTTCAGAAAAGCTCAGAGGGTAGATCGTAAATCTACTCGAAAATAAGCAGATGTTTTAATAAATAAACAGAATTTTACTGCGATTCTTGGATTTTGAAAGACATTTACAGAACTTCAGGTAAGTTCGCTGATCTTTAGAGATATTTGCACAGCTTCTGAAAAATTAGAAAAACTTAAGAATACTTCCTAAAACTTCCGGAAAGCTCAAAAATTTCTAGATAATCTTTTAATTCTTTAGAAAATTGTATAGATGTTCAGAGATATTTGCAGATATTCATTGAATCATGAAAATCTGCTGAGAAAATTACAGAAATTTCGAGATGTTTGTAGATTAT